AAAAAAAAAAAAAAAAAAAGAAAAGAAAAGAAAAATGAGCTTATTACAGAATGTTAATTTACCTACTGTTTTCTTCACAGGGAAATCCTGCTATATCAACTCAACACTGTACTTAGTTGCTGGCACAACCAACAGTGGATTAGGGGAAGTGAGAGTTAGCAGAGAAAAACTAGTTACAAAACTGTAGTAAAACAGGAGGAGTCCACCCAGTGTCCCAAACTAGGGTGGTACTAACAGTAAGGATGGAGAGATTTGAGAAATATTTGAGGAGAAACTACTGAACTTAGTAATTTGATCTGGAAGATGAGAGAGAGAGAGGGGAGTCCAGGCACCAATAACAATGTTTAAAAGAGGGATGGTGGTACAGTAACATGCATACCATTTGCCTACTCTGAAATTAACATCTTCATGTGTAACCTCAGAAATTTAGATCTTAAATACCATTGATTATAATAAAAAATACATTCCTATTTCATAAGTACAAACAATACTTAATTAACTCTTCTCCTATGTTCAAGGAGAAGAGTTGAACTTACTGTCTAAACTTACTGTCTCCATTTTTACTTCTTACTCAGCCCGTTCTAGTCCATCTCCCCAATAGTTTTCTGAAATTGCTCTTGTTAACATGAACTCTGTGTCTTTCTACATTCATTTTTCATGGTGTGTGATCATTTCTTCTTTGAAATACTCTATATTTTTGAATTGTTTGACACTAGTTTTGTGATTATCTTCATGCTCCTCGGCCTATTTTCAGTCTCTTCTGTCAACTCACCACCCTCTAACTCAGGTCTTCACACTCAACAAAAAGATTTAAGGTATTCCTCTGGTCTCAGTTAACATCTGCTTATTGATCCCTCTACATAAATATCTCTAGTCCATATCTCTAATGAGTGCCAGATTTATAGTCCAAGTGTCCACTCTATTTCCCTGATTTCCCTCCAGTCACCCAGATTCAATAAAGAACTGCCCTCTCCCCCCCCACCCCCAACATACCCCACTTCCTGTATTATTCTCAGTCAATGAAAACACCATCTGCCTGGAAACTTGGAAGTCTTCCTCCTTTGACTTCTTGCCATTACCTCTTGACTGGATTATTACAACAGGCTCAATGTTCATTGCCTCCGTTCATGCTGACCTTGCCACTTTTCTATAATCAGTAGTGTATTGCTAAATGTTTAACAGCTAGCTCTCCAGGAAGGGGGGAACACCCTGATTTGTAGTGTTTTCCCAATTTCTATGATATAAATACTCCTACCATAGCTGGTTTCAAGCTACCAATATGATATCACTGATCATGGAGCTGGGAAGAGGTGTGTAGTCTCACACTATTCTATAGTATTTCTACCATACAAACATAGGCTTAGTACAGATAATAGTAAAATAATTAGGAAATTAGGAGACTTTGTTTTTTATTTTTTGAGTTGGAGTCTGTGTGTAATGAGTTTTAAATCCCTAATATGGAGGCTAAATTAGAGATGTTTTGTTGGGGGCAAATAGACCACTTTGACACCTTCTGTGTTGAACTTACAGAGTTTGGGTAACCAAGGGCATTGGCCAATATCAAAAGAACTTTAAAAGGCTGTCCCTGGCTGGGTGCAGTAGCTCATGCCTGTAATCCCACTATTTTGGGAGGTCAAGACAAGAGGATTGCTTGATCCCAGGAGTTCAAGAGCAGCCTAGGCAACATAGCAATAACTTCATCATTACAAAAAATTTTTAGAAGTTAGCCAGGCCTAGTGGCATGCACCTGTTGTCTCAGTTACTTGGGAGGCTGAGGAAGAAGGATCCCTTGAGCACAGGAGGTTGAGGCTGCAGTGAGCCATGATAGTACTAATGCACTCCAGCCTGAGCAACAGAGTGAGACCCCCAGCTCAGATAAAAATAAATACATAAATAAATAAGACTGTCCCTTATTGGCAAGGTTCTTCTTGAGTCAAGGGACAAAGCATTAATGGAACCAGTATGGAAAAAGAGTTCTCATTGTCCAGGCCTTCTTTTTTACAATTAGAAGACTGGCAGCTGGTATTTATCTTTTTCCTTCAAGACTTGGAGTTTAGCAGCTTTAAGGGCAAAATTGATCATAAACCCAGCTGCATTTGAGAGTTAGCCCTTCCTTTTCTGCCTTAAATTAAAATGTTTGCTTCTCTTCCTTACTACTAAATATCCTTTGTGACTTTTTTTTCCCCAAGAATAGGGCCATTTTATTTGCGTTAAAAAAACCTATTGAGGCCAGGCACAGTAGCTCACACCTACAATCCCAGTACCTTGGAAGGCAGAGGCTAAAGACTTGCCTGAGCCCAGGGAATAGAGACCAGCCTGGGCACCTTGGCAAGACTTTGTCTCTACAATACATAGGAAAAAAAATTAGCTGGGCATGGTGGCACATGCCTATGGTACCAGCTACTTGGAAGGCTGAGGTAGAAGGGTCCACCTGAGCCCAGCAGTTTGAGGCTGCAGTGACTGTGAGCATGGCACTGTACTCCAGTCTGGGTGACAGAGTGAGACTCCAACTAAAAAAAAAAAAAGCCTGTTGAGGCAGGTATCCTTTGTCCTCAATGATTTTCTTAATGGCATCAGGGAACTTGTCTGCTGCTCCTTGGTAGGCAGAAACTGCTTCTCCTGTTACCTTGATGCTTTTTAAGCCAAACAAACCACTTTCTAAGATTATCAAACCATCCTTTGCTGGCATTAAATTCTTCAGCTTTAGATCATGCACCTTCCTTTTGCTTTATGTTGTCATGTAATAACTTCACTTTTTCTCTAATCATATTAGAGACATCAGTATGCCTTTCTAATAGCAATTATACATCCACATAAAAGCTTCATTTTCTTTTTCTTTCTTTCTTTTTTTTTTTTTTTTGAGTTGAAGTCTCACTCTGTCGCCCAAATTGGAGTGCAGTGGCATGCTCACAGCCACCGCAGCCTCAACCTGCTGGGATCCAGCGAACCTACCTCCTCAGCCTTCCAAGTAACTGGAACTACAGGCACGTGCTACCACCTCTGGCTAGTTTTTTATTTTAATTGTAGAAACGAGGTCTTGCCAAGTTGCCCGGGCGGGTCTCAAACCTGTGGGCTCAGGCAATCCACTCGCCTCACCCTCCCAAAGTGCTGGGATTATAGGCTGAGCCACCAAGCCCAGCAAAAAGCTTCATTTTCAATATGAGATAGACATTTCACAAGAAGTGCAAGGTTTCTGCACCTGCTGGTGCAGATACAGCAACAACTTCACACATTTCCTTTTCTTTTTTCACTATGGTTCTGTATTAACTTATCTTGTAATGGCAGGAAACTGCAGCTGTAGACCTCATTCTATGATACACATCAAGCAGTTCAACTTTTTCTTGTATTGTCATGACTTTTCTCTACATCTTGGAGCACCTCCAGCACCACTAGTGCCACTTTGTATGGGTCTTATGAAGTTATTCAAGGTTTATGGTGTTGCACTAAACACAATGAGACATGTGCAAGAACCACGAGAGATCACTTTTTACCATGATATGCAATTTACTGGTGAGACAAACTGCTCATGCAGAGGTTATTAGCATCACATGTTGCTTTAAGCAGATACATTGTTTGAGATCACTACAATAGCAGTAGAAGATGGCTACAAAATTATTATAGCAGTGCCATATTACTGCAGTTAGGTTTATGCATATGACTTAATACTGCATCTTTATATTTGTTTACATTTTCTTGACTGTGAATGGTGCCATGCATGGTCTGTGTATGTAAGCTTTGATAAATTTTAACTTTTTAACTTTATAATAGATTTATGGTAGTAAGTTATAAAATAGAGTAGTATCTACATATACTTTATGCATTCATGACATACATTTTTCTTAATTTTGCTTCACTATTTCTAGGTTATACAGTTCATCTGTGAGTTTTTTCAAATTGTTGCAATTCTCTGAAATTTTTTCCAGTATGTTTATTGAAAAAATATCCAGTTTTAATTGGACTTTTGCAGTTCAAGCCCAAGTTGTTCAAGGGTAGATTGTATTTTTTAGTTGAAGTAAATGTGAAGGAGAAACATTTCTACAGAGCATTTTACCTTTTTGTAATGATGCTTTCTGCTGCACTATGTAATTTAAGAATTGACTTTAAAAAATATATGCAGTTTAACTACATGGAAGTAATACAATAAATTATTAATTTACATATTCTGTATTCTTATTAATTTAGTGGCTTTTTGTTGCAACCCTACTGTTTGCAAGGCACTGTGCTAAGTGTCAAAGATAAATCAATGATTAGCTGGGCATGCCCCTGTAGTCCCAACTACTTGAGAGGCTGAGGAGAGAGAATTGCTTAAGCCCACGTGTTGGAGGCTGCAGTGATTGTGCCACTGCACTCCAGCCTAGGCAAGAATGAGAACCTGTCACTCAGAAGAAAAAGAAAGGTAAAGATATAACTATAAAATATATAATCTGTTGTTTCACCGGTAATTTATTAAAATGGAAAATTTACAAAACAATGTGGTAGGTGTCATAATGATAGAACACAGAGGAAGGCATACCAGAATCTGCTTAGCTTTCCTTGATAAAAGTTAATCTTTAGATAATCTGCTTTGTCTTGACCATGTATACCAGCAGCAGATTAAAACATTGTGAAATTACTCTTTGATTGTGAAATTACATAAACTTGATCTAGATCTGTTTAGTCATGTTTTATTTTACTGCCTATATTAAGAACTAGATTGAGAAGAATTGTCTCTTTTTAAAAACGAATAAAACTACTCAAGTTTTTTACTAAGTTTTTTACAACTTACCAAAATTACCATCCAGATTCTGGATATTATGAGTTTAAAATTTCCTGTGTAAATGGGAAGCATCTTAAATCATCACGTTTAAAATCTCTTTTAACCATTTATGATATGGTATGATAGTTAGAAATTTGACTTGCCTGTTTTTTTTAAGGTTTCCTTTGGATCCTAAAAGAAGAAAAGAATGGGTTCGCCTGGTTAGGCGCAAAAATTTTGTGCCAGGAAAACACACATTTCTTTGTTCAAAGCACTTTGAAGCCTCCTGTTTTGACCTTACAGGACAAACTCGACGACTTAAAATGGATGCTGTTCCAACCATTTTTGACTTTTGTACCCATATAAAGTCTATGGTAGGTAATGCTACTCTCTCTTTTTTTTTTTTTCACTATTTTTATAACCCATTCCTTTATTTATTTTTATTTATTTTTTATTTCAAAGATGTGGGGTACAATTCAGGATTAGGTATACAGATGTTCATTATGCAGGCATCCTTGATGAGGTGTGGCCCCCTCCAGCAGTTTTCCTCAACTGATAATCCCACCCCCCCCTCCCCTAACAGTTTCCCATTACTGCCAATCCCTTTCTTACAGTATTGTGATAATTGCTTAAGGTCTACGAGTGAGAACATATGGTAGTCTGTTCTTTATTTCTGTGATAGATCACTGAGTATGATAGACTCTGGTTGCTATAAAGTCCATATGTTTGTCCTTCTTTATAGCTGCATAATATTCCATTGTTTATATGTACCACATTCTTTTTATCCAGTCCAGTTTCAGTGGGCAACACGGTTCCATGTTTTCATTATTGTAAATTGTGCTGCAAGAAACATGCATGTGCAGGTATCTTTTTTGTAGAATGATTTGAGTTTCTCCAGGTGTATTCCCAATATAGGGATTGCTGGGTCATATGGAAGGTCACTTTCTAGTTCTTTCAGAAATCACCACACTGTTTTCCAGAGAGCAGCCCGTTCCTTTTTATTGATACAGTACAGCAATTCAGAAGATACTGAAATTCATGTATAATGAGATCCTCAAGAAAGTTGCAGACCTTCCTATTGTGTAGTAAAGGTGATGCTAGAATTAGAGCTCAGCTCTCCTGACTCCAAGTCTTTCCCCAGTCCAAATTGTTTTTACTATATTACTACCAATTATTAGCAATAATTTACCAGTGGTAAAACAAATCATATGAATAATGACACCTCCAGCATTGCTCTGCTCTGATTTCAAGATGACGTGCAAATAACATGTGCTAAGTGCTTTAAGAGCCGTATACTCAGAGTATACCAAATATTGTAAGTTCAGAGGGAGGCATAACAGAAAATATTATAAAGCTTTGGCATTTAGACTGGGCTTGAAGACTTGGGAGTTTAGAATGTGGAAGAGTATTCTTGATCTTGCACAGAAAAATTGCAATTGGATGTTAGGAACAAAAACAAATGGGTTAAGGGATGAGTGGGAAATAATCAAATGTTAGCAAGTGATATTTAAAATAAAGGAGAGGATTAAGGAACAAGATGGCTGTATTAAAACCATGTTTTATCTAGTTAGGGAAGATGTGATCAGAGATGAAAACCTAGATGAGAAAAGATCACCAAAAGGTAAGAAGGGGTAGAATAAACACAAATAAGTTTACCTCTTTTTTTTTTTTTTTTGAGTTGGAGTCTCACTCTGTCGCCCAGGCTGGAGTGCAGTGGCACACTCACAGCTACCCTAGTGTCAACATGCTGGGCTCTGGCGATCCTTCCACCTCAACCTTCCAAGTAGCCGGAACTAAAGACACACGCTACCATGCCCAGCTAATTTTTTTTTTTTTAATTTATTGTAGAGACAAGATCTCACCAAGTTGCCCAGGCTGGTCTCAAACCCGTGGGCTCAGGCAATCCACTTGCCTCAGCCTTCCAAAGTGCTGGGATTACAGATAGCTGTCAAGCCTGGCCTTAAGTTTAGCTCTGAAAAAGAAGACAGACATGTTTTCCTCTGAGATGGGAAAAACTACAGTTTTTTGTTGTTGTTATTTCTATTTTTATTTTTTCTTATTTCTGACAGTTAAACTTGTGAGTTACTACTGAATGAGAGAAGGGGTCATAACAAACTATCACAGATGCTATAAAAGCTTGAGGAAGGCAGAACCTTTTGTCTTTTTCACTTCTGAGTCCTCAGCACCTCAAATAGTGCCTAGTACACAGTATGTACTCAAATATTTATTGAATTTAAAATGTACCTTATTTTTGACATTTTGATCATTTACTCAAATAATTTTAAGATTAAACTTTACATTATACTAGAATATAAGTTAGATGCTGGGGACATAAAGAGCAAAAAAGGGAACCAATTGTAGGTTTCATGAAGACAGGAACCATATTTGTCTTATTTGTTCACTGTTGTGTCTCCAGGAATTCATAATATGTTTCAATAAATGTGTATTTAAGGATTAAAAGACACAAATTTATGAGGATATGATATAATCTGGGAATTATAAGTAGTTTTGTATGGCTGGAGTATAAATCTGGTGAATGGCAGAATGGATAGGTAAAGAGAAATTTAGCCAGAATTGAAATACCAGATCTGCTAGAATAATTATTCTGGTGATAGAATATGGATTAATGAGGACCAAAATAAAGTGTAGCAATCAATAAAGGATAACATAGTCAAGCCAGATATGATATGAGCCTGATGTAGAGAGTGGCATTAAGAATGACAGAGAGGGGCCAGGCACAGTGACTCACACCTATAATCTGAAGACTTTGGAAGGTGGAGTCAGCAGGATCACTTGAGCCCAAGAATTCAAGACTAGCCTAGGCAACATAGTGAGACCTTATCTCTACTAAACATTTTAAAATTAGCTGAGTGGTGGCACATGCCTGTAGTCCCAGCTACTTGGGAGGCTAATTGGTTGAGCTAAGGAGTTGGAGGCTGTGGTGAGCCGTGATCGTGCCACTGACTCCAGCCTGGCTGATGGAGTGAGACCCTGACTCAAAATAAAAGAAAAAAAAGAATGACAGGAGAGGATTCATGATACAAATATTTAGGAGATAGAATTAATTGGACTTAAAGACCATTTGAATAAAAGACATAAAGAGAAAAAAGGACTCCTCGTGTTTCTGATTTGGGCATAAATTTCCTAGCCACATTTTAAATCCTTAAAGATGTAATCATGAACAACTGGTAGCTAAATCTATTTAGAAGCTTGATACTTAAGAATATGTTTCTTGGAATAATTTGACCAGAGAGGAAAAAAAGTGTGTTTCTATGGATCCTTTAATTTTCATTAAGTAGGACCTTGGGTCTAAAATATTCATCAAATTAAGAAAATAGTATTTGACTAAAAGGGAAATCAAATTAGTATAATAGATAATAAAATGTCTAATTACATTCTAAATTGGCCATAGTAAGTAAATTGCAAAGGATTTTTGAAGTCTCTGAAGAATCACACTCAGTAATTGGAAAGAGACCTTGGAAGTCCATCGTCTATTTCCAAATCAGTGTTTAAATGTCTCTGGAGAGAGGACAAAAAGATATAAATGATAATTAAACCAGTTGAGAAACTTAACCCATGGTTACATGAGATGGGCTGCTGATGTTTCCTGTCAAACTTTTAAAATCAACTCTTATTAGAGCAGTTTAAGTTGTCTGTAATCCAAAATTAGACAGCACTTATTTGTCATATTTCATAATTTATGTTCAACCTTTTCATTTTATTTGGCTCAGAAACTCAAGTCAAGGAATCTTTTGAAGAAAAACAACAGTTGTACTCCAGCTGGAACGTCTAATTTAAAATCAAACATTAGTAGTCATCAAGTACTACTTGAACACAGTTATGCCTTTAGGAATCCTATGGAGGCAAAAAGGAGGATAATTAAACTGGAAAAAGAAATAGCAAGCTTAAGAAGAAAGATGAAAACTTGCTTACAAAAAGAACGCAGAGCAACTCGAAGATGGATCAAAGCCACATGCTTGGTGAAGACTTTAGAAGCAAATAACATATTACCTAAAGGCACATCAGAACACATTTTACCAACTGCCTTAAGCAGTATTGCTTTGGAGGATTTCAAGATTCTTGAACAAGATCAGCAAGATAAAGCATTACCAAGTCTCTAAATCTAAAACAGACCAAGAGTACCTTCATTTAAGTTTAGCTTGCACAGAACTTGTCCATCCTTCCTTCTTTTCAGAGGTAAAGATATTTATGGCAATTATGCCAAAATGCAGTATTTAATAAAGTTTTACTTGAAGTAACATTATTACTGTATAACTTATGAAGACTTTATTACAAAAAAATAGGAAACTTTGTATGAACATTTCATTTGAAAAATGAGTGGAAGTGCCTTATGTAAGAAAAATTTTGCTAGGAAACTATGTTTGCAAGATACTTTTTTTAAAACTATTATTAAAGAACAATTTATGACAAGTAATATGCTTAATTAATATTGGAAAAGGATGTTTTCCTATACCAAAGTTGGGATATTACGTTCTTAATAAGATGCTAAGTAGGAGATAACCAACCTTAATTATAACCTTAAAAGTGTTGGGTTTTGTATTAATTATTGGCACTGTGATTTGAAAAATTTATAGAAAAAAATCTGAGGTACAGGGCAAGCTTTTTAAGCTTACTGCGTTTTTTTGTTTTTTGTTTTTTTTTACCAGTAAAATGAACTTATCATGGACTCCCTCATAAGAATTTTAAAATACAGTAGATTGGAAGATATTTTAATGTGACATATCCTTGAGTTATCCAAACTGGTAAGGCCTCAAGTACCTCAGACTAGTAAAATCTGATTATATTCACCTTCTAAGAAAACACGTTGTAAAATAAGACAAAGTTTAGGATCTAGCTTTTACCTTAATTACACAAATAGACAGATGTATGCTACTCTTTTTTTCATAATAAAAACATTACATTTCCAACTTCAAAACTGGTGTGCCCATGTGCGTTGATACTTAATGCTTAAGCCTTTTTTTTTTCTTTTTTAACTACTTTCCACATACATTCTATACCTCAGAAACACATTATCAATATAGTTTTTTTTTAATTTTTTTTCTTCATAAATCCTCAGTGAAATTTAATCACAGAAAAGTTCTTACTATATTATACCTTCACAATGTTTAACTTAATAAATTTATCTCCCATTCAAGTACTAACCAGGCCTTACTTGCTTAGCTTCCGAGATCAGACGATATCAAGCACATTCAGAGTGGTATGGCCATAGACTGAATCAGTTGCTCTTACACATCAGTTTGCTTTTTATCTCTTTTAAAGTCAAATAGCGGAGCCATATTACATAAGGGAAATGAAATGTACTTCTCTATGAAAATACATGTATGTCCGTGATAAAGCTATGCAAGTGCTAGTTATTTTACAAAATAGAAGTATCAGAACTATTCTTATGGTTGCCACTTGAACAAAAAGGGTTTGCCATATTTCACTAAATGTTTAATAGGAGCCCTTCAAGCAGCTTTGGTGAAATCATGTAAAAATATATAACCAAGGTATTTAACCCTAATCCAAGCTTGTGATACTAACAAATGAAAGTAGCATATACCAAATCATAAATTGCTACAAATCTTTCCTATAAAGTAATGGCAACTTTAAGATTAAAAAACTGGTTGGTTTGTTTTTTTTTCCAACTGTTTGTGGATTGCCTTTTTTTAAAATGACATTTGCTTGGATATTAGCAACAATCTTTTTATAGTATTAGTACCCTCTTTTAGTAAGGAATGACTCCCAAGCAAATGCAAGAGTAGGAAGTGTCTTAATTCCCTTGAGTTACTTAGAACAAATATTTATGGAAGTTCTTTTGTAGAAGGTACAAGCCTTGTTGGTCATTTTGTCTTTATCTTAAGTATTGGATGTAGTCTTGGAATTGTCATTACATGTTTTTTCCCTGATAGATTTCAAATACCTTTTCACCAGTATACAGTCAGCAAACACTTAGTGACCATATCTACTTTATAACTCAAAATGTTGGGCAAATAATCATTTGAATAAAAATGATTTTTTTCAAGTAGAGACTCTCATGTGGTTCATGCCCCCACTCCAAATACAAAACAAAACACTAATTAATGTTCCCATCTTCAATAATATCTTGAAATCTTAATACAAAGTTTTAAAAATCATAAAAATATAACCTTATAAAATACAAAAAGGTTTTGGCAAGGTTACTTCATCTCACTATTATTTGACATAATTGAATAAACTGCTACTTAATAATTTGGAGTAAATTTCTGTGTTTTCTCTATGTCATTTAATGTTACAGTTCTGATGTAGTTCCAAGCCCTCCCTGCATTGAATTGTTTTATTGGCCTACAATCTGTCCATCTTAAAACTAGCTTCATTCATAGAGGAACAACCTAAAAAGAATCTCTTAAAATCCTGTTTTGGGGTTGCTGATAGATTTTTCTTCTTTAATCACTCTGACCATAAAACTAGTCAAAATTATAATAGCTCTTTTTTCCTCTGCTGGTCACAACACAGATCCTCCATTCATTCTGTGTCTACTAGGCACTAACTTCTACAAAGAACCAGCTAAATGCTAGGTGTTATTAAGAGGAATATGGACATGATTTTTTTGCCCTAAAGTTGCTCAGTCTCCTGAGAGAAATAAATAATAATTATAATACAGTATGATAAATGCTATGAAAGAAATAGGTGTAGCCAAGTGGGGTGGCTCATGCCTGTATTCCCAGCACTTTGGGAAGCAGAAACTAGAGGATTGCCTGAGTTCAGGGGTTCAAGACCAGCCTGGGCAACTTGGCAAGACCTCGTCTCGTCTCTACAGTAAATTAAAAATTAGCCGGGTGTGGTGGTGCGTGCCTGTGGTTCCAGCTACTTGGAAGGCTGAGGCAGAAGGATCACCTGAGCCCAACAGGTTGAGGCTGTGGTGGCCATGAGTGTGCTACTGTACTCCTGCCTGGGCAACAGAGTGAGACTCCGACTCAAAAAAAAGGAAGAAATAGGTGTAAAGTGCTTTGGTACTGCTCTTGAATTGGAATTCAATGAGAACTATAAACTGGTAATGCTCTTGAATTGGAATTCGATGAGAACTATAAATTTTAGAGCTTTTTATAATCAAATTATTTTGAAACAAAGCAGATTTCTCAAAATGACTTGCTAAAGGAGGTAGAAGGACATTGGTGTTTGTCCTGAATTAGAGTTTTTTAATGATCTTTAAAATGAAGACTGAAGAAATTTGTTGTTAATGATTTATCTTTGTTAAAAGGAAAACATAGCTATAAATAAAATTCTACATCAAAGCCAAGTACTGGAGTTCATTTGAAATGTGATATTTACAAAATAAAAGTCTTAACACAGATGTTTAAAATAATTTAACTCAGATTCTTTAAAGCACTTTGGCACCCATTTGTTCTCTTACTTTTTCCTTACAAACATTGAGTGTGGAAGATGGTATTATCTCAGATTTACACATGAAGAAGTCTTTGTTAATGTAATTTATTCATTCAGGCATTTACTATATGCCATCTTGCACAAGGGATAGAAATGCCTGTGATCTAGATAGTTCTAGATTAAACATAGGTCTTTGCCTCCAAATCCTCTCTGCCCTCCACATTCTAACTCTGTTTAACATATGAACCATGTTATTAGACTAGGACAAATTAAGTGTCTCAAAAAAATGAAAATAAGATAAAGTTTATATATAATAGTAAAGATTGTCTATGAGGTTATTGGTAATCTTCTAGGTGAACTTTATAATGTTGGTATTTTATCTCATTTTTCAACATTAGAATACGGGTAAATTTTAATTTTGGTATATACAGAAAATGGTTCATCTTTATACCAGAATATGAGATCGTTTTGATATTTAGACAGTTGGAAACTTTCTAAAATTAATGATTTTGTAGTGTATATTAAACAATTGCATACTATTAGTCACAAAAATGCATTCTATGTATGTTCATATTAAAAACTTCTTTCCACGGAGATTACTGTGTCTATTATTTCCAGAAAATGTACATAAACATTTCTGTGGAAGTTATTTCCCTAAATTGACCCCCTAAAAGACTTTGGTAGACGTCCTCCCTAAATTGAAGCAAATTGTAAACCAAATAAAGATATGTAGGCCAGGCTTGGTTGCTCAGCCTGTAATCTCAGCACTTTGGGAGGCCAAGGCAAGTGGACTGCTTGAGCCGCGAGTTCGAGACCAGCCCGGGCAACTTGGCGAGACCTCGTCTCTACAACAAATCAAAAACAATTTAGCCGGGTGTGGTAGCCTGTGCCTGTGGTTCAGGCTACTTGGAAGGCTGAGGCGGAAGGAGCGCTGGAGCCCAGTAGGTCGATGCTGGGGGTGGCCGTGAGTGTGCCACTGCATTCCAGCCTGGGCGACAGAATGAGACTCAAACTCAAAAAAAAAAAAAATATGTAAAGACCTAAGAAGGAATTACTTCATTTTTGTCATTCAAATTAAATCTAAGCATACATTATATTTATTTACACTGTTTTAAGTACAGCTATGCAATCTAGATATATGAAGAAATAATTCTAGGAGTCCTTATAATAATTTGAGGCTTACATGACTATCAAAGCATTTTATAAAAGTGTGATTTTTCTTAATTTTTTCTGATTTTTAACATAGTTTTTTAAATACTTTAATTCAAAAAATACTGTCTTATCATTTGCTGTGAAATGTTGAACAAATTTAGTTGTACTAGACAGACATGTTCCCTGTCCTCAGGCTATTAGAAAAAAAAATTCCATTTGTTTATTCTCACCCCCACTGCTCCACACCCTCTCCTTAATGCCCTTTTAGGATGAGGTGAATATAATACAACAAATCAGTCTTCAGACTACTGCTTAGCCTTTTAAAATTTGTGCTCTAAAAGTCATATATTTTTTTTTAATGTCAAGAAGTGTTTAATGTCAAGAGGGCAGCTATGTGCCTATCTCTCAGATCGATTTTTAGTTTAATAATTATTTAGCAAATACTCCAATTGTTATCTCCAAGTATTCGAGTTCTCTTGAACTTATTTTCATGCTCCTCTTAACCACCAACACTTTACAAACCGCCCTTTTAGTTTAGTCACTTAACAAACTCATTGTCATCTTTCAGATCTTAGCTTGGACACTCCCTTTCTCTTGTGTGACACCTTTCCTCAGCATATTAAAGTGACATAAATGCTTTTCTCCTTGAGTCCTGCTTTATAGATACATTGTGTAAAGTCATCTTATTATGATTGTCTACGTGTCTCTTCATCTCCTATGCTCCTTCAAGGTAGAGACTGGTGTGTGTGTGTTGGTTATTATTATTTTTTCTTTCCCTTTTAAGACCTGAGGGGTCTGAGTATATGTATTAGGCACTCCAGTACGAACAGATTTCAGAAAATCTAAACCACTCCCTTGGCTTAGATTCAAAGGTATTGAACATTAAATTCCACTGACATTTTCCTAGCAAACAATAGTGCTTTTTGCCTTTGGAATAATTTTTGCAATTGAAACTTTTTTATATCAAAGAACTTGATCATAAATATGTATTTGTATTATGAAATTTAAAGATTAGTACAACTGGCCAGGTTCAGTGACTCACGCCTATAATCACAACACTTTGAGATGCTGAGGTGGGAGAACTGTTGGAAGCCAGAAATTCGAAACCGGCCTGGGCAATTTTGTGAAACTCTGTCTCTTTTAAAACACAAACACACACACACACACACACACACACACACACACACACAAAGATTAGTACAGCAATGAGCTTTCAGTCTGTTCTATGATTGCCATAGTAAGTAACAAACTGTCATGTGTTCTACAGGTAAGGAAACTATGGTAAAGGCAGAAATAACTGTTGGAAAAATTTAAACAAGTATGTTTAAGTTTCTTCTTGGAGTCATTAATAATGCATTCGTATGATTCTATATGGATACAAAATTTCTCAGCCTTAAATTTTACCAGAGGTATTTTTGAAGGGTGGGGGATAGTATATCTACAAATAACTTGAAGAATATAATTTAAGAAATTCTTAACCAGAAAGTCTCCATTGCTAGAAAACAGCTTTTAAAGTAAATAGAAAAACAAAGACTATTGACATTTTTAAGACTGGCACAGTCTATAAAAATTATGACAGTAAAATCATGATTTTAAAAAAAGTACACAGTAGTCCTCCCTCATTCCAAGGGAGATTGTTCCAAGACCCCCAGTGGATGCTTGAAACCTCAAATAGTACTGAACCCTATATATGCTATTTTTTCCCCATACCTATGATAAAGTTTAATTTATAACAGGCACAGTAAGAGATAACGAATAACAAAATAGAATAATTATAAAAGTATGTTGCAATAAAAGTGACAAGAGTTACTTAAACACAAGCCCTATAATACCGCAACAATCTGATGACTGAGATGACTCCTAAGTGGACTAATGCGTGCATATTCTGGACCTAAGGAAGATTTCTGTCCCAGATGGGAAGGAGCTGGACAGCATCCCACTACTCTGAACAGCATGCAATTTAAACTTATAAATTTGTTATTTCTGGAATTTCCCATTTAGTATTTTCAGGTCACAGTTGAGCACAGGTAACTGGAACTGCAGATGAAGGATTACTATATTTGAACTACGTTAATTCCTCCAAATTATTTCAGCTAGAATAACTTGTTTTCTGGAGATTATCAACTGGACATTGGAAAAAAAATGAAAGGGCAAAATTTAAGAGTCAGTTTATTTAAATGGTCAATTCACTGACCATCTTTCCAACAGTTATTTCTGCCTTTACCATAGTTTCCTTTCCTGTAGAACACATGACAGTTTGTGACTTACTATGGCAATCATAGAACAGACTGAAAGCTCATTGTTGTACTAATCTTTGTGTGTGTGTGTGTGTGTGTGTGTGTGTGTGTGTGTGTGTGTGTGTGCGTGTGTGTGTTTTAAAAGAGACAGAGTCACACAAAATTGCCCAGGCTGGTTTCGAACTTCTGGCTTCAACAGTTCTCCCACCTCAGCATCCCAAAGTGTTGGGATTATAGGCGTGAGTCACTGAACCTGGCCAGTTGTACTGCATATTCAATATGCAGTCTTAGCCAGATAAAATACTCATCATCTAGCATCTAGCGACTGACCTGACCTCAGTGTTGTTAGGAGATGGCCCGACATTCACAGCTAGACTATGGTTTTCTCACAGATCACCAACTAATCCAATAAGGCCACCCTGTGACTGATGAAGTAAGGCAAAAACCAAAAAAACAGGATCAGTTCATAATTTTTTTGTGTCGAGGTCTCATTATGTCACCCAGGCTCAATCATGGCTCACTGCAGCCTCCACCTCCTGGGCTCAGGTGATCCTTCTGCCTCAGCCTCCCAAGTAACTGGCAATATAGGCCCACACCACCATGCCTAGCTAATTTTTTTTTTTTTTGTAGAGATGAAATCTTGCTATGTTGCCCAAGTTGGTCTCAAACTCTTGGACTCAAGCAATCCTCCCATTTCAGCCTCCCAAAATACTGGGATTACAGGCATGAGCCACTGTGCCTGGCAATTCATAATTTTGTCCAAGCGGAAACAAAAACAAGGTCACTGTGCAAACCATAAGAACACTAGCTTGTATTAATAATAACTTTATTAAGTAGTCTGGTAACATTGATATTGTCCAGTCGGCTCGGCAAGATAATCCAATCATTCGCCTACGTAGAATAGACTGAGACCAAAAGGGGGGCATATAATAAATTTTTGCATAAAGACCATATATGTATGTGGTTCAGTCAGAGATAGCCACTACTGTTTAGTCCTATTTCACAGATTTGGGTCTTAGTTAACTAAATACTTAATTAGATGTTTTACCACGGGAAAGGGCAGTTAAGTTGTCTTGGCATGTTATTTTATTTTTGAATAGGAGTCTCACTCTGTCATCCAAGCTGGAGTGCAGTGGCACACTCATGGCCACGGCAGCCTCCACCTGCTGGGCTGAGATGATCCTTCTGCCTCAGCCTTCTCAGTCCTCTCAGTACAAACCGCAGGTGCATGACACCACACCCAGCTAATTTTTTTATTTATTGTAGAGAGGAGGTCGCACCAAGTTGCCCAGGTTGGTCTCGAACTCCTGGACTCAGGCAATCCTCTCGCTCTATCTCCTAAAGTACTGGGATTACAAGCATGAGCCACTGTGCCTGGATTGACATGTTTTTTAAAACGTAAAATAATGTGAGTTTTTAAAAAGTAACTACTCTTGGGGAGTTAAAACACAGAATTGTCTCTTCTTACAGTCAGGAATTAGGTGAAAAAAATCAGAAATATAATGTAATTATCAGTTACTGTTAACTCAGGCTAACAAAAGTTAATTTCACATTTTAAAAAGTTAGTTTCACATTAGGAAGGCTGAGGTGGAAGGATCGCCTGAGCCCAGCAGGTCAAGGTTGCGGTGGCAGTGAGCGTGCCACTGCACTCCAGCCTGGACGATAGAGTGAGACTCCGATTCAAAACAAAACAAAATAAAAAAGCAATAAGCCACAAGACTCGGATTTTTAATGCGAACAAGACTTTCTGCTTTCTAAATTAACTGACAGAATCACTTTAAATATGAGGGGTGAGGGACAGATATTTCCACAATGTAAGTGGCATTAGGACAATTAAGTGAAAGCCCAACAGCAGAAATTATGTAATTTTATCTTTACCTAGCTAACAGCCTGCAGAGTCTGGCACATCATAGTAATAAATCGTGTTGTTATCTTAAATTTCTTTTCTTTTTTGAGTCGGAATCTCACTCTGTCACTCAAGCTGGAGTGCGAGTGGCACGCTCAAGGCCACCGCAGCCTCGACCTGCTGGGTCCAGGCGATCCTTCCCCTCCAGTCTTCCAAGTAGCTGGAACTACAAGCGTGCGCCACCACACCTGGCTCTATTTTTGATTTATTGCAGAGGCGAGGTCTTGCCACGTTGCCCAGGCTGGTCTCGAAACCCTGGACTCAGGCAATGCCCTCTCCTCCGCCTTCCAAAGTACTGGGATTACAGGCGTGAGCCACTGCGCCCGGCCTTAAATTATTTCTAAACCACAAAATTCCGTTTCTACAACACGATATATTTCCCTCCCCCCCAAAATCCATAACATTATTTGTCATAAACACTTCAGAGATTAAAAAGCATTCAACTACTACGCTCGAAATGGACTTATTGGGTCTCAATTCACTTGCATTTCGTTATTCCATGACTACCCTGTGGTTTCACTTTTCGGCGTTAAGGAAGTCCATAGCAGGCGGGCACTCCTGCCGTGTCTGCGCCAGTGAGCGAGGTGGGGGCTCCGCGCCACTGGGGCGCATGCGCGGAGCAAACGAGCCGCTGGGAAGTGGCGGCGGCGCGGGGAAACGTAGGCTGAGCTCTAGGGTTCTGGGCCCCCGCCGGCTGTACTTGAACCCTGGGGCGGCGCGGGAGGCTGTCGGGACGTGACCGCGCTCTGGGGCGCGGGGCTCGCCGCCCCGACGCCTAAATTCGAGTGCCCCACCGAACTGTCACCGGTGGTACCTTGCGGTCGGCGGGCCCACCCTAGTTGGCTTGAGAGCGATAGAGACTGGCTGCGCCCGGCGGGGTGGGGAGGAGAGAAGGGGGCGGGGCTCACCCTCTCCGGGAGCGCCGATTGGCTGCCTCGGCTGCCCTTTCACCTTCCTGGTCTCGGCGCTCAGGTGTGCGGGTATCTGCAGCCTAGAGCCGGCTCTCAGACTCCCAGGAGACGTGCTTTGCGTTTCCCGGGGGGCATTAACCCCGCCCGTATGAGTGGGTGCTCTCCACCAGCTGTATATTTCCGGAAGGAGTTTGGGTTTAGGGGACTATTCATCTTTTTGGTTCGGTCTGTGAGAGATGTTGGCGTTTATGTTTACCTCTAAACTAATGTCTTGCTGGCAACGTAAATGACTGTTTCTCTCCGAAACGCTAAATATTTTCATCCTCAGGTGCTCGTATCCTTATTTTCCATGACAGATCTTGAAGACAGTGTATGCCAAAGATACATAAAGATGATAACTAATATAGTTATATTGAGCCTGATAATTTGCATTTCTTTAGCTTTCTGGATTATGTCCATGACTGCAAGCACCTATTATGGTAAGTGTGTATGTTCTAAGTTGTTTTACTGTCATCTAATCGGTGGAATTTAAAATTGTGCCATTCTGAAATCCAGAACTCATATCCTCTGAGTGATTATGAATTGTGTTTACTCCCATAGCCTGAACTTAACTTACTCACATGATAATATAAATAGTGTCCCGAACGTTTTCAAGCCTTTAATAAATGCTTGTTGTGATAATACTAGTTATACCTATTTCAAAATGTCTTTGTATTTTATGTAATTAGTCTATCTTGGTGTAAATAAAGTGAAGTAAAACGTAGTTTTGAAGCAATTACAGTGATGCTTTTTTAGTTTTGAATAGTAGTAGTAATGTAGTGTATCAGTTTCATGTGTCTTGTAAAATAATAAGAATTAAAGACAGTATAATATTTACATTTGGAGATTTAAAGGACTTATCTACCATTTGGTCACTTCAAAAGAATAGACTCCTTTAATCTATTTTATTTATTTATTTATTTATTTATTTATTTTTGAATTGGAGTCTCACTCTGTTGCCCAGACTGGAGTGCAGTGGCACGCTCATGGCCGCCGCAGCCTCAACCTGCTGAGCTCAGGCCACCTTTCACCTCAGCCTTCCAAGTAGCTGGAACTACAGGCAAGCGCCACCATGTCTGGTTAATTTTGTTTTTTATTTACTGTATTGACGAAGTCTCGCCAAGTTGTGCAGGCTGGTCTTGAACCCCTGAGCTCAGGCAGTCCTCTTGCCTCCGTCTCCCAAAGTGCTGGAATTACAGGCATGAGCCACAGTGCCTCGCAAGAATAGACTCCTTTTCAAAGCCTGATGCTGCTTTGCATGAATATAAGATACTCTGGACTCAGATCTTTAAGGTTTTGAAGGTGTCATAGAGCATAAGCATTCCTGTACACAAATTCCCTTGGAAATCCTATAAAAACAAAACTGGTCAGTTCACAAGAAAACTAAAAGGAGATTGAGAAAGTGAACTCTTATAAATGATTATATCGTAAGTTATTGCCATTTCAGACCTTAGTCCTTTTGCAAAGAGACATGTGAGTAATTAGAGAGGTATTATTCTCCAGGGCACAGAAGCTCTCAGGGCTGTTCATTCATAATGATTGACAATAGGGGACAGGGGTTTGGGAATAAGAGAGAATTCTTGTTGTTACCAGTATTAACTATGACTTGAACTACATAGAATGCACCAGAATTTGTAAACTGAATTGTCACCCTAATGGGGCCCGTTACCTAATGCACATATACAAGTTTTTGCATTTTAGACATGTGGCAGTAGTTTTCATTTCCATAAATAAGATTTTTCTGATTTTTTGGAACATTTGACCCTCTTTTTCTTTCATTTTCCCATTTTTGAGAGACACATGGACACAAGCAATAGTTCATGTTTTTCTTTACCATACAGAAATCCTTCCACCTTGGTGTTCAGGAGTCTGTCAGGAGTGGTGGGAACCTTAAACAGGAAAGCCAGGATCTTTTTAAAGGAGGCAGCCTCTCTTCACCTTCAGATAATTCTGCCATGTGGGCCAGAATTTCTGGGTTTTAAAACAGAAGCCAAGAATCTGGGTTTTTTAAATGTGAAATCACCTCATCTTTAAGTATTGACTCAAATTGTTTGAAAACACTTTACTAGCCACACAAAATGTCTGTGAACTGGATGCAGCTTTTGGAAAAATTTGTTTCTAACCACTGAATCAGTTGTGCTCTGAAAGGTAGAAGGAGGAATAAGATCCTGTTAAGAAAAGAGTTTGTACTATGTAGTCCTTGAAATTGAATACGTGCCTCCTTTTGAAAAAATTAGGAACCAGATAGTCATTTCAAATATCTAGAAACCCATGTTTAAAATATCCATCATAAATGGTTTCAAAACTTGGACATAACCTGTAAGATTTCCCTTCTGAAAGTATGCAAGTCTCAACATAAATATAGTTATGTTCCACATATTACAACAGTGGTCCTGTAAGATTGTATTATGTATTTTTACTATACTTTTTCTGTTAAGATACATACATACCATTCTGTGTAATTGTCTATAGTATTCAGTACAGTAACATGCTATGCAGGTTTGTAACCCAAGAGCAATAGACTATACCGTATAACCTAGGTGTGTAGGTTATGCCATCTAGGTTTGTGTGAGCACAGTCTATAGCATTTGCACAACATTAAAATCACCTAAGAATGCATTTCTCCAAAGGTATTAAGTGACACATGACTCTATTTTGCTTTGGTAATTTCACCTGGGTCTCTCTACTCATGGTGATATTTTAATCCAGAAAGTAGCTAGCAAAGCGTACTGCCAAAACTAACCTGTACAGATGTCATACAATTTATGCTCCACTTTTATATTTTTTTTCAGGTAACTTACGGCCTGTTTCTCCTTGGCGTTGGCTGTTTTCTGTTGTCGTTCCTGTTTTGATCGTCTCTAATGGCTTTAAAAAGAAAAGTCTAGATCACAGTGGGGCTTTAGGAGGTATGTCTTTATTCTATTTAAAGTAACTACAGAGCAAGTGCTTGCTTATATAACTTAAACTATGAGACTACAAATCATGTTATATATTTTAGATACTGCTAAAGTTATATATTGCTCAGCGTTCCTATTCTGTTAAAATTTCAGAAACTAATGTACACTTTTAATGTGACATACAAATTTAACGTTGTAACTGATGTAAAGTAGATTAGTAGGATGGGCTTTTGATGAAGGACATTGACTATTCTCCTTTAGTTTGATTAATTGGTCACCTACCAGCAAAATATTGGGGCACTCTTTCCTTCTAAGTATAAAATAGAGGAGCAGTTGAAAAGAACAACTCTTGGAAATTGCTTTTAGCAGTGTCAAGCAGAGCAGTCTAAACTTAGTATTCTAGATTAATTTTTTGGAAGTGAGGTGAGAACAGGCCATTGATTAATTCTTCTAGCAAATATTTATCAAGTATGTACTGCTGTGTGTCACTCTGCTAGAACCTGGGGATACAACTATAAACAAGAGGGTCAAGGTTTCAATTCTCATGGAATGTTTATTCTTTAGGGCAAATAGGTAACAGTAAGATACATAAAACTTCTCAGATAATGATGAAGTTTGTGAGAAAAATTAACAGATAATACAGAGTGTATGTTGGAAGATGTAGAGCATCCTTCTGTAGATAAGGTCAGGTGCTTTTCCCTAAGGAGCTCACTTTGAGCTGGGACCTGAAGAAGTCAGCAGTGAGAAGATCTGACAGAAGCATATTCCACGACACAAGGCACGCAAAAGCCCTGACATGTACAATCCTGGCTTGTTTGAGAGAGAAGAATATGACTCATTTGATGGGAAAATAGTTTAAAAAGAAAAAAAGAGAGAGAGATAAAGTTGAAGAAATAGGCCCTGGCAATGTCTATTATGGTCATATGGTTTCATAAATTTTGCGAAGGTAAAATATATTTTTGTACTCTTTTTCCTAAAGAAAGCTTCCCAATTTATATAAGCTTCAGGCCCCACAAAACCTGGATTTGTCCTTATTTAATTCCTAGGGCACAGTGAGAATTAAATGAGATAATTACCATAAAGTTCTCAGTTCATTGCCTGGACTCATAGCCAACATTTACTGGGTGCTTGTTGTTGTTGTTGTTGTTGTTGTTGTTGTTGTTGTTATTATTATTATTGGGCAGACTTCTTCAGAATCATGCCAGTTTTTATCATAATTAATAAACATTTTTCAAGTTCTGTTGAGAGATTTATTTTCCTTTTGAAAGGTAGTTGAGAATTAAAGTTAACTGGACATATCGACACTTTTATATAAATTCTATCTTATATAATCAACGTTAGGAATGGTTAGTTTTTATCTATTTAACAAATATTTACTTTGCACTTAACTAGGCATTACTGTTAGTACTTTGTAAGTATTAACTGGATTTATAACAAATAATTTGAATAAGCTGTGCTTGAATCTAATATCATAGTGTTATGCTTTGCTAAAAAAGTTGTTTCTCAGGTCTCCTTGCCTTGGTATATATTACTTTTGACTTATAGCAAGAAAGGTCAAGTTCTTCTTGAATTTTTCTTTCTTTGGCTTTCATACTGTGTGTCGTCCTGGTTATCTTACTTTTTTCATCGCTAATGTTATTTTTCAGCTACCATTTCCTTTCCTACCTTCTAGCCCTGAGCCTCTACTTTTCTTCTTCCTGTCTTGATTTAGAATTAAAAGATAATGTATTTGAGTTGGGTGCGGTGGGAGGTAGAGGTGAGAGGATTGCCTGAGACCAGCCTGGGCAACTTGGCAAGACCTTGTCTCTACAATAAATCAAAAAATTGGCCGGGTGTGGTGGTGCACACCTGTAGTTCCAGCTACTTTGAAGACTGAGTTGGAAGGATCGCCTGAGCGCAGCAGATCGAGGATGCAGTGGCCATGAGTGTGCCACTGCACTCCAATCTGGGCAACAGAGTGAGACTCTGACTCAAAAAAGAAAAAAAGAGTTAATATATTTGAAACTGGTACTGCCACCTATTATCAATGTGATCTTTGGCAAGTCACCTAACATGTGGGAGCCTCACTTTCTTCATCTCTTATGAAATATGTTCAATAGTAATACCTTATGGACTTATTGGTGAGGCTCAAGCAGGATAGTGTTTGAGACAATGCGTCTTTGTAAACTATAAAGCACTATACAAATGTTCACTGTTAGAGATTATCTACTGTCAATAATATTTTTCTATATGAATTATTATTAATTTGGCTTTGCCACACACATTCAATTCTTTTTCTTTATCTCTGCTCATATTATTTATCCTCCCCCTTCGACCTCTTTCCTACCTCATTATATATTCTAATTATCATCTGCATTAATGGGTGAGACAATTCTTGGGGAGGGGGAACAATGAAAGCTGCAGAAAATTAAAATGAATTCTCCAAGAGTAAGATTAAATTAAGTATTTCCAGTAAATATATTAAAATTCTGCTGTCATAGCCTACATTTATAGTCAGGGGAGATAGACAATAAATAAGATGTGTTTGAGGCATCTGATTCCCAGAACAAGATGCCATAAGTATAATGGAAGTGCACAGCAAAATAGGGTGTTGTCAGGAAAGGCCAGTGGCAGTGCTCTGCATGGTCTCACAAGGCCTTACCTCTTCTTGTTCACCATTAAGTAGGTCTGGTGTCCAGTCTTTTTGAAGTAGAAACCTCTTTCAGGTACCCAGAGTTGATCAAAGCCAAGAAAACTGAATAAATGTTACTCATTGTCATAAGAGATTGATATATGATCCAGAATGCTACTTTATTAATCTGATAGAATCTAGAACTACCAGGCAGACTGGAATAGAAGCTCACTGTCCAGGCATGCCCTGTTTTTGTAGTCAGGCCACTTGAGAAGTCAGACGATAATTAGAAGGTTGGTGAGTAAAAAGTCAGAGAAACAATAATGCAAATCCACAGATGAAAGAATTTTCCTTTCCTTGGACAGGGTTTGACAAGTCTGCCAACCTCTGGTTCTTTTGACCTTCACTTTTTATATTTTGGATTAACCAATTAAATTATTGTAAAATATGAGTAGATTTGAGCTTATTAATTGCTATGAAATTCCAGTCCTGCTTTTCCATTTTTTGCCTCCCAGAGATACCCAGGTCACATTGGTTGGAATTTGGGGTATAACTCTATTCCCACTATCAGACATTTGTAGATAGTGTTGTTTTACTTTCCCAGATGGCATCTGTTGGATATGTAATTTACTTTTTTCAAGCTCAGAAGGCAGCCATAATCCTTGAGTCTTCAAGTTCTTTGGGAGTAACCTATTGTTGTATATATGAACCCATTATTATAGTCAGGAGAGGCCACTGGTACTGCTCTGCATGGTCTCACAAGGGTGACCTTACCTCTTCTTGATCACCATTAAGTCAGGTCTGGTGTTCAGTCTTTCTGAAGTCTAGAAGCCTCTTTCAGGTACCCAGAGTTGATAAAAGTCAAGAACATTGACTAAATGTTGCTCATTGTCATAAGAGATTCAGAACGATCCAGAATTATCAATGATAATTAGAGATTCATGGGGTGGGATGAGGAGGTGTAACAAATATGACCAGGAGATAGCAGATACTAATCTAAACTTTTATTTATTTATTTAGGGGGCGGGGTCTCACTCTGTTGCCTAGGCTGGAGTACACTGGCATGATCCTAGCTCACTGTAGCCTCAACTCTTGGGCTTAGGTGATCCTTCTCCCTTAGCCTCTAAGTAGCTGGGACTACAGGTACATGCTACCACACCCAACTAATTTTTATTTTTTTAATAGAGATTCAGTCTCACTATGTTGCTCAGGCTGGTCTCAAATTCCTGAGCACAAGTGATTCTCCCACCTTGGCCACCCAAAGTGCTGGGTATGTGCCACTGAACCTGGCTAAAAATTTAGACATAGCTGGGAATTTCCAAACATTTCAAGATATTTTTAGACTATGTGAAAGAAACAATTCCTTCAAAACGTATTGTCTTAAATTTATTTCATACCATTAGCATGAACATTGATCATGTAGTATTAGGGTAATTGAAGTAAAAAAGAATATAGATCCTATTTGTAACATCTCAGTGGTAGGTTGTTTAGGGCCTTTCTACTTTGAGTTTGTTTAGAGACAGTGGAACAAGTTGTTGACAATGACCATTTATGAAGAGGAAACATTTTATGACTTTCACTTTGTATACTTCAATATATTTTGGCCTTCCTCTCCAATAGTCATGTATTGCTTTTGTAATGTTTTCAAAATAAATTGAAAAAAAATAAAGGTTGGATGACAATATAATATTTATTATTATTGTTGTTGAACTTTTACCACTGGAACTATTGATGATACTAGTACCAGAGACATTACCTAACATTTATTAAGATCCTTCCGCATCCTGGGTAATATAATAAACATATTATAAAAATTATCTCTAATTTTTTACAGCAAGCTAGTGAGGTAGAAATTATGATTATTTTCATTTCCTTCACCAATGTGAAATTGAGACTTAAGGAAGTTAAGTAACTTCTCTTAGTCTCACAGAAGTAAGTGGAGGAACCAAAGTTTGACCTTCAGACTGTTCAACTCCAGAGTTTAAGCACTTATTATTATTTTATGCCAAGTAACCCTGTTTCTTATACTGTCAATTAAAATGTACTAAAGTAAAATATTAGTAATTGAGGATCGCTGGATGAATCAATGAAGAATCATTGGATATGGTGGTTGAATCTTGAACTAAGCAATGGAAGGGATAATATAGAAAAAGAGAACCTGGCTAACAAGATGGCAACCAAACAGGCAGGGCAGACTGGGAGAATCTCCTCAAAGGCAAGTGTACATGTAGACGCTCTGCATGAGTGGGCATGTGCTGGTGGGAGAGTGAAAGTTCATCTGAGGGGAGACTCAGGTTCATGCACTCAGGGCCCCCCTCTGAAGGTGACTGCAAGTCTCCACTGCCCTGAGATTGGAGCCATAGGTACACAAGATCATCTGCTGTTCACGCGACTCTCC